GTTGTGGGACTGGACGCACAACAACACAGCAGCGCTGGGCTAAATGCATTATGGCCTGGTGCCACCTAGTACTCTCCACCACAGGGCAGGCAGGTGTTTCATCCTCATTTCCCAGACGAGGACTTGGAGGCCCTGAGAGGCAAGTAGATTACCCACCTAGTAACTGGCCGACTGGGGCTGAAACTCAGTCTCGTCCCCCTCCCTCCAGGCCGTCTCATGCCCAGCTCACTGAGCTCTGCAGCAGGAGAGGATATACTTGAGTGCAATGCTAAGCAACATGGGTTCCTGGATGGCACTGGCTATACCTGACCCACATCTATGTCCCCTGCAACCATGAACTCAGAGTCCCACATGCAGTAGGTGCTTGGTCATTCTGGGGCTTGGAAGTGCAGCATAGGCTCCTGAAGGGTGGGGCCAAGCTGGATGAATGTCTGCCCCCAAATCTGCTCACCCCTCCTTCCTGATTAACTGAACTTCTCAAATATATATAGATTTATTTTAGAGAGAAGGGCATGGGGGGAGAGAGAGGGTGAGAAACACTGACTGGCTCCCTTCTGTATGCACCCTAGGGCACCAAACCTGCAACCCAGGCATGTGCCCTGACTGGGAATCAAACTGGCAGCCTTCTGGTTCGCTGGACAATGCCCAAGAAACTGAGCCACACCAGCCAGCACAAACCTCTCCTTTTTCTAACTGTGCACTCTGCTCTGGTTCTCCACCCTGCTGCTATATCACAGGTGTGATGGCTAAATCTCTAGCAGCCACCCTGGACCATGAAGACAAGGGTCACTCCCTAGGACCCTGCACCTTCGTGGAGCACCCAGGAATGCCTATCTCTGGACTTCATTTAGATGAGAAATAAAGCTCAGCCTTGCTTAAACCACCACTATTTGGGGTTTTCATGGCATATTCTATCAAACCTGATAAATAGCAAAGAATGGCTGTGGAAGAGAAAAATCTTGACCCAAATTTGAGAAGTGTAGGATTCTACTTCACAGAATGAGATGACAGAGAGCTCAGAAGCTTTTCCTACAGCTCAGGAGAAAAGGCTGGACAAAGGAGCTGCAACCAGCTGCTGCTGCAGATCTAGAATGTTGGAATAACGGGATGACTGTTAGTCAGGAGCCAGGAGATTTTGAGTGGAAGTGGTGTGATAATATCAGCATTTTAGAAAGGTGAATGTAGCAGTCTCTCCCAGGCCAGCAGAGCCAGGAGAGCTTGGATGAAAGAAAGCTATTCAGTCAAATGTTCCCTGAATGCCTAGTGGGTGCCAGGCATTGTGCTTCCAGGAAAGAGTACGCAGGAGAGAATCGCGGAGCTGAGTCTGACAGACGTTAAGTGAGCACCAGGTGGTCCTGCATTTTTTTAGCAGTGACTCCCATGCCTGCCTCCACAGCCGCATATAAACTCAGATTCCCAGGCCCACCCGGGACACTCTGACCCACAGACAGTGGCAGGGCTCAGGATTCTGTTTTTTTAAGTAACTATCCCCAGGTGACTTTAGGAAGTTAGTCCATAGACACACTGAATAGGCTAGAAGCAGCTCCTCACCTGGTACCCAGAACACAACAGGTTTGGATTTTATTAAATAGGTGAACAAATTCACTTCCATACTGTTAGGAGACTATAAATCAGTAGACTTTAAAAGACTCAATAACAGTCGGAACATTTTTCCTGGTTAAGTGAACATGGGTTTTTTACCTATTTCATTAACCACAGTATAATCTAAGATCACTGATGATGTTCCATGATCTATTTCTACAGCCATTTCAGCAAAAGGTGAGTCGGTATCACCTGAACATAGCTGAGAAGAGCCCTGAGCATGGGAGCACGAGTTCTGTGCCCGCTCACTGCGGCCCTCTGCTGCTTCTTGCAGGCACGGTGGGGACCCAGAGCCCAGCCTTGGGGAGGACCTGGGAGCCCCAGGCTGTCTCTAGACAGCTGCATGGGCAAGGAGCTGCCTTCCTCTTCCCAAGGTGTCCTCACCCACTTCAAGGCCACTCTCTCTGGGAGTGAACTTAGAAGAAAGAAGTGCTCCTTAAAGGGGACACACGGTACAAAGGGAAAAACAAGGCTCAGGATGCAGGTCAGTAACCTCCCCGCCTCACCCCCAGTTAGCCTTGAGTAAGTTTCCTCACCTATGGTGCTATATGCTCTTTTTTTTATTATTTTTATCCAAGGATATGTTTTTATTGATGAGAGAGAGGGAGGGTGAGGGAGGAAGAAAGAGAGACATCGATGGGAGAATGAAACATGGATCAGTTGCCTCCCATACCTGCCCCAACCAGGGATCAAACCAACAACCTAGGTACGTGACCTGACTGGGATTCGAACCCTCGACCTTTTGGTGTATGACACAATGCTCCAACCAACTGAGCCACCCAGCCAGGGCTGTGCTATATGTTCTTGAAGATCTCTTCCAGCTGTGATGCAACCAGGGTGAGAATTTCCACCATTTTCTTCTTCCTAATTAATACTGAAAAATGATTCTCAGTGTAAAAATGTACTCCCATACATAAGGCATGATGTTTGCTGCTGGGGATACCATATTTAAGATAAACCAGGGTTCATGCCCTTAAGGAGTTTGTAGCCTAGAAAGGCAGACAAATAATTCATTCAATAATTATATAATTACAACTGTCATAAATGTTAACTAAGAAAAGCCCTTGGTGCTATGAGTATGATGCGAGCTCAGGAAAGATTTACCAAGCAAATATAACATTCATGCCAAGACCTGAAAGCAGAGTACCAACAGTTAATAGGGCCAATGTTCTGCTGGAACTGATAAATCCTTACCTGATCATGGCCATCTGGCTAGAGGCCGCCAAACCCTCACCCCTCATGCCACAGCAGGGTGGTGTTAATACCTCAGGTCATTTGTAGCTGCCTCCAGGCCTTGGATGACAGCTGTGGCTGTCAGAACTGGGCCCAGCAGAGGGAGAGAAACACATAAAACACTGACTTCAGCCTGGGAACCTGGGCCTGAGGCTGGACCTGCCCCTGGACCACTATTTCTGGTGCTGACTATTGCCGGGCATTATGCATAGGTATAGGAGATAAGACACAATATTGTCACAGCACCAGGGAGGTGTACGAGGGAGGGAGAGGATGACATGCCTTTCAAATGGGGGTTCCTTGGACAACTCCAAGAATGTGATGGCGTCTGAAGACAGACAAGACTGGGAAATGGAGAGAAAATGCATCTGACAGGAGAATGACATAAGCAAAGGCAGGGAGGCTAGCGAGCACGCACTGGGTGTGCGATGAGCAGCAGCTGGAGCTGGGATGTGGGATGGCAGAGATCTGGCAATGATGGAGAGTAGGACTATGTTGCTACAACTGACTCAGAAAGAGAACAGATGAAAATCTGGTCTTCAGGGTGGTGTCTGATGTCAAATCACAGCCCTATGACCAAGGGCCCTTGGTTTTCTCCATTGGACTTGCACAGTTTCTCAAACATTAGAGTCCTAAGGATCACCTGGAACAGGCTGCCAGGCCCTACCTCCAGTGGGAAGACTCCAATTAAGTAAGTCAAGATAAGTCCCACGCTGAAAAACCACAGGTCAGACAGTGGGTCCCAAGGGCCCCCTCCAGCCACAAGCTCCAGGCCCTGGATTCTTGGCCTCCTATAGCATGAAGTCCAGGCCTGGCTGACCTTTCCTAATTATGGTGGGTGTTCCTGATAAGCAGGGGACAGACCGGTGATGCTGTGTGGGGAAGCAGGAAGGGAGAGCTGTGGAGGGCTGGGCCCGGACTCTCTCCCAGTCTAAGGATATTCTAAAGAGAGATGAAAGCTAAGAGTAGCCAACAGACCAAAACGGAAAGGCCATTCTGGGCAGACAGTACAGCTTGTGTCAAGGCATGTTCAGTACAGTTAAGATGTCAGGCGCATACAGGCAAAGGATGAGAAGCACAGCTGGAGCAGAGGGCCAGGTCCATAACACAGACAGCCCGACCAAGAACTTGAGACTTGATTCTGTAGGCAACAAAAAGCCATGGAAGACCCCTAAACCTTGCACGATCCTGGAAACAGCTCCCGAGTCATTTACTGGGCATGAACACATAGAACACTACTCTTGCCTCATCACTCGCCCCACCTCCAACATCAGTTTGCATCCTTTAAGATCACCTACTACTTCTATCCAAAAATCAGACCTTGGATCCCCTCTGTGCAACAACTCGGTCAAAATGAGGCAAGCAATTTGACTGAGGCAATTAACACTAAGCCAGGAACCCAACCTCTGAGATGATGAGAGGTTGGTCCAGCTTGGAACAAGGTGGCCAGTTCTGCTCTCCCCAGATCGTATCTGTACCTTACAGCTTTCCTTTTCTTCATCCTTCGGAGAAACTAGAAACTTCCCTACATGAGTTCAGGATCCTTGAGGGTAGAAGGGGGCACAGTGGGGGGATGAGATGGTTCATACTGCCTGGGTTTGGGCTCGACCAGTTCCCACTGAAATATTAATACCTTAAAAACTACAAGAAATGTTACAGCAAACTCAACAATTTAAGCAGCCTCACTAAGACCCTGACCAGAAGACTCTGCGCAGGATAACTATTGGTGCCTTCAAATTACCTGCTTCATCCTCAAAAGTCAAAGACTGAAGAGAATAAAACAGATGCAGGCTCTGAAGGTGCTGCTGAATCTTGCAATGCTAGCAAAGAGGGGGTGTGGTGATTCTCTTGAGCGGGGCGACAGTTAATGGGGTCGGCAGGTATATCTGGTCAGGATTGTCGAGTTAACACCACAGCTTCAATCCTGCACCAAACTGAGTGAGTCTGGCTCCCCAGACACGCCCCCCAAAGATGCCTTCAGCTAGCAGTGAAAGCACCTTTCCGAAGAGGAATGGTGGTGACGGGTTAGGCTTCTATAGGCGTCTGCAGTGGGCAGAGCAGTGAAGACACTTCCCTAGCAATCCCTGGAACCTGGCTGGGCTCGCGCATTGGCCGCCCTGGGGACAGCGTGGGCCACCCGCCCAGGGTCCCCTGCTTCAGCTCACCTTGCACTTGAAGCCAGCGGCGGGCGGCAGAAGCTCCCGCAGCAGGCCCTTGGCCACCTCGCGGCTGGCCTCCTCGCTCACGAAGTGCAGGTTAAGCACCTCATGAGCTTCGAACTTGGCCAGGCGCAGCAAGGAGCGGAGCGCGACGCGGGCCTTGGCCTGCAGCGCGGCATTGTGTTCCGCCTTGGTAAACATCATCAGCAGGTGGTAGTCCACCGGGCCGGCCCCGCCGCCCTCTAGGCTCTTAGCCTTGGCACCCAGGACTGGTGCCACAGAGCCACGCGCCAGTTCCGGCGCCAGTGGCGAGGGCGCAACGGGGGCTCCGGCGCGGGCCTCCTTCAGCCTCTTGGTGGCGCTGGAGAAGGTCTCCCGGCCCGATCCCAGGTAGTAGAATGCACACACAGCGAGCGCCGCGGCCAGCAGCAGCGCGCAGTAATGGGAGCGCACAGCGCCCAGGCGCGCCATGGCCCGAGTACATGGGGGCCCGCCTCGGAGGATACTCATGCGCCAAGGACCGTGGGACCAAGCAGCCGAGAGGACCCGCGGACGCCGGTACCCCAGCCACTTAGGGTACCAGCGGAGGGAGGCGGCCATGGAGAGGGCGGAGCCACGCTTTCCAGAGCCAATCCGTGGGCGCTGATGCGCGAAGGGGCGTGGCCAGGGCTGCCCGGCAGCCGCGGGGTCCTAGGTTCAGAGGGATTAAAGCTGGAAGGAACGCCTTCGCAGCAGTTTTCCTAAAGTGGTTTTGAACAGCTGATGAGGACTTGGAGGTGGAGAAGGCCAGCTGGCTGTCCGAGCTGTGAAAACTATACCCGTTATTAAGTGCCTAGCCACAGACGTCGAGCTGAGAGCCTTGGAAGGAATTGAGACGCCCAAAGCAGGCGCTGTTAACAGAACGACTAAACAGCACATACAAAGAGAAAAAAATATATATTCTCTATATCTTTCCCCCCCCCTAACTTCTTGGAGACCTTAAATTCTCTCACTGACTCCCTTCACACTTTGGAGACCAGCTGGGGCTGGGAAATTTACACTAGCAAGTTCTACACTGTTTGGAAACTCAGCTGGTTAGAGTGGTGGTGTCCCAATACCCCGGGGCTGTGTGTTTCATCTCTGGACAGGGCACATATAAGAAACAATCAATGAATGCATATATAAGTGAAACAACAAATCGATCTCTATCACAAATCAATAAATACAATTTTTGAAAAGCAAAAATAAATAAATAAATAAAACCGCAAGCTCCTTCTCCATTCACTGTGTAGTAGGGTTGACACTTGAGGTGTATGCAAATCACTTGCCCACTTGTCATCCCTGCGGCAGACCAGAGGCATCTAAAAGATGTGGCCAAGGTGTCGAAAGACAAATACCATATGATCTCACTGATAAGAGGAACCTAGCGAACAAAACAAACAAATGAGCAAATACAACCAGAGGCATAGAAATAAGGAACAGACTGACAGTGACCACGGAGGAGGAAGAAGAGGGATACGCGGGGGTGGGGAGGGAGAAGGTGAAGGGTCTAGTAGAGGAACAGGTATAAACGACCCATGGACTTGGACAACAGGGTGGAGATGGGAGGAGCAGGTGGGAGCAATGGGGGGAAAATTGGGACAACCGTATTAGAAAAACCATAAAATAAAATAAAAAATAAAGGATGTGGCCAGTAGGGGGACCCCGCTGCCCAAAACTTCAGAATAGTTAAGAACCTTGAAGGAATAATACCAGAGATTGTGATACAATTATTTTCTTTGTCTTTTTAAGCAAACTTCAACACTTTTTAAAAGCCTTAATATGTACCAAGTAGTTTTGCAAATTGTAAACTAAGGCACATTGAGGTAAAGTCTCCAAGATTACGCACAGTGGCGGTTTCGACCCGAGACAGTTGGACAATGTTAACTACATAAAAGCTCATTAACTTCAGTCTCCTAAGGACTGATGATATACCATAGTGTAAATAAACATGTACAAATAGTCTACATGCTCGAAAGAGATGGAGGTGAAAATGCATGGACAAATGCACGTGCAAATTCTCTCACCAGTATTTTGGGCCACAGCATTATTTCTCAAAGTGTGCTTCCCAGGCTACAATTCACCCCGTGTCTAACTCTTGTTCTTTTCAACTGGAGCAACACTTTTCAGAAAACATTGAAGCTCTGAAACAGGCTTGGCAACAAGTTCAATGCAAACTACTCACCTTTAAAAAAAAAAAGCCAATGGCACAATTAACTCAGTTGAGTAACAGGTTCTTACTTTGGTTCACGTAATCCTCACAATTCTAAGAGGTAATATTTGCACTTTACAATAGGGGAAATCAGGATTTAGAGAAATAAATCTCCCAAATCCAGGAGGTTAGTAAGTAATCGAGCCAGGATCCTACCCCAAGTCTCACTCACTGTTTCCAAAGCTCCAGCTTTTCGCCAAGATTAGCGCTAAAAGCAGTAATTTGAGCTCTGGGTTATGGGTATTGTGCCACGACCTTCTGCAGATGACACTGTGTTTAAGAGAGCAACTCTCTTAAGAGCTTGTTAAGAGCAAGTGAAGAAAGCTGGACTTCCAGGCTGGAAGACCACTCTTCCACTACAAGTTGAGCAAGGCACTAAATTTCTCCAAGCTGCAACTTTACCCATATGTAAAATGGGGCTAATATTGGTGCCTGTGCCTCATGGGGTGATGAGAGACAATAGATTAAAAAGCAGAACCATGCCTGATGTGCAGTAAACAAACATAAATTACACAAGAAAGGCCAAGCTCTAAAATAAAAGTCTAAACATACAACAAATACAAAAATATAATTTAACAACCATAGCTTTTCTTTGGTGTTTACAAAGACTAAACACCAAATATCCATTAAAACTTTATTACATTTCCCCCACAGCAGTGTGCTATAGCTGTATTGTTACATTCTAATTGTTGTCCATTATAAGGGAGAAATAATTCTCAAATTGTGCATTTTAGTCTCCTGAGCTACACCATCAATAAAGTGTTTTTTCTTCCTCTGCCACTTACTCTAGAATTTATTCAACAAATATTTTATTCTTCAGACCTTTATAAGACCTCACTACTCCTGGAATTTATTAATAAGAAATGAATGACAAGATAATTTAAATTTTAAATAGAAAATCAGTAGGCATAGGAAAATACTCAAGAGACTGGTCTTATCTCCAGATGCTTTTATTCCCAATTCTTTGGCCATAGGAAAAGCTAATTTTGCAGCTTCCTGAAGTGTGCTATTGACTGAAATCTAAAACAGCGAGTTGAAGGCAGCCAGTCATTTATTCAGTAGATACCTAGTGACTACTATTCAACATGCCAAACAAAGTAGCACCTGAGGGTACAGCAGTGAAAAAACAAGAATCTCTGCCCTCCTGGAGTTTACATTCTAGCAGTGGAAAATAGACAAACTAAAAAAAAAAGAGCTTTACTGTCTTCCTCTGTACCCCTCAGCAGAAGCCGCAGGGGTCTTCTCAGAGCACTTGGTACCCACTGGAAGCCAAAGCCACACCTCCTCCCCCCATGGGCCCTGTGGTGAGCCAGACAGCACCTGCACACAGGGAAGCACCAGCTCCACCATCTGCTATTGGCTCACCTGCTCCTGCACCAGGGCAGCCAGGTCTCTTGGCCCAGGTGGCAATCACTGCAGCTGGTACGGTTGTGGGCTCTGCTGTCAGCCACATGCTAGGTCATGCCATCTCTGGGGACTTCAGTGGAGGACATGTTAGGTGGCAGCTAGGAATGAGCAGCCAGAGGGGAAACAAAGGAGGACCCTCGCCATTACAATCTAACAAAGAACTTAATAGAGAAGGCTGGAAGCAAAAGGGAGACGTGTCTCACCAATTAATTCAGCAGTCCTGAGCCTGGTTTGGTAAGGTTGCTGGGTGTCCGGAGCATCACAAGCTAAAATAGCACAGGAGGAGGCGAGTGCTTGAGACTCTCTGCTGGGAAAGGGTGCCTCTATAACAATTTCACTAAGACAAAGAGCCTTTACTAGCTGAGAAAGAAAGCCTGTGTAGCTGTACATTATTCCCAAGGTTTAGAAGGAAGAGGAGGAGGGGTAGGTATGTTACCCCTGAACCCCAATAGCTGGCAAACTTAAATTAGCTAAATACCCACTCGTAGCCTTGGCTCAAATGTACAGAACAAACTTACTGGCTTACTAACAACTTTATTTTCTCTATACGTGGGGCATTGAGACTAGCTGGGTGGCTCCTTGCAGCTTTGTGCTCCTGTGTGTCTCATAAACTTGGTACTTCATTTCCACTATACATTGTCATCTTTCACTTGAATTCCTCTCTCACAGGTGAGACAAAAGCTGAGAAAACGCGCTGGCTGGCATAGCTCAGTGGATTGAGCGTGGGCTGCAAACCAAAGTGTCGCAGGTTCTATTCCCAGCCAGGGTACATGCCTGGGTTGCAGGCCATGACCCCCAGCAACCGCACACTGATGTTTCTCTCTCTCTCTATCTCCCTCCCTTTCCTCTCTAAAAATAAATAAATAAAATCTTTAAAAAAAAAAAAGCTGAGAAACAAGCTGGTTGGGGGTGGGGGGGCGGGGATGTGTGGCTCAAGTCTCTCCTCCATAACAGAAGTTATGCTGAGCCCTCAAGGCCTGACTTCACTTACCAGGAGGCTCAGGGAGCTCTGCACGCCAGCAGCAGCAGCAGCAGCAGCAGCAATGACAGTTTGGACTGCGCCTCTATGAGATGAAACAGTTTTTGGAGTGTGCCCAGACCAGAGTGACCTTAAGCTTTATGAGGATTTCAAGGAGGTGTTGAAACAGTGCAGGTTTGCAAACGGACTAGCCTAATCAAGAAGGTCAAATTGAAGAAATGGAAAATCATCTCGCATGACCAAATTATTTATTTATAGTGTAAAAATAGAATTGATAGTGAAAGTATAAAACTACCAGTGAAACCTCTCCTCTATCAAAACAAAACAAAAAACCCTCTCCTCTATCATTAATAGTGTCCTTGCCTCGGAATTGCAATGGAAGACCGTGTACTCACTGTGTAGAAGTTCGTTGAGACGGTATTGAGTTTTGGGCTGGGCAAATATTTGTGTGGCGCCTTAAACCAGCTTTTGTGATGTTACTGTGAGTGAATCAACTAGAATAAAGTGATTGTTTTTCCAAAAAAAGAAAGAATATAGGGTATCAGATGGTGAAATGTGCTATTTCCTCAGCTTAAAATAGACATATCTGGGTATATATCAACATGGCTAAAGAGACAAAAAAAATTGGGTAAACACAACTACCCTTCAGTTCTAACTTTAACTGTGACCAACTTCTCTGACTTCTAACCAGAGATTAGAGGCCACTGTTTTTCACTGTGGTGTAATTTCTACATCTATAACATTGGGTAGATTATCAGATTTTCTTTTTATTGACTACAACCCAACATTGTCAAGGACACAGAGAAACAGGCATATTCCTTCACAGAAGATGAGGGTTTGTTTATTGGTACAACTTTTCTGGAGGCTCTTTTGGCAATCCTAAAATCTTTTCGGCCTCTAAGAGAACATGGAGTTCTCTCTCCTACCCAGATGACTATATCTCCCTAAGACAGGGTTTCTCAAATTTTCATTG